CTAAGACTAACCTTTTTTTCAAAACGTTCTCCTTTTATAAAAAATGCTCCTATAATAATATTTTGCTTATATAAAGTAGACTACTTCAAAAAGTTTAAACTAGGATTTTTGACAAATTCACAATATTTTCAGAGTTACCACTAATTGAAATAATTATCGGCGTATTTTTCTTAAAATTTCTCTCCTTTGTTGCAGTAAAATATGGTTAAATCCACTTCTAAGTTATATAGTTCAGCCTCTGTAGAGAGGTCTAAGCTATACACAGGCAAAATATTATTATAATAGAAGCATTTGTCATAAAAGGAGAATGTTTTGAAAATCGGTCATTCTATGTTCATTATTTTTTCAAAATATTGTACTTAAATAACTTTTTTTACTGTAATATTATTCTTAAAACAGTTTTAGATATGTTTTCTGTCTATGCTTGCGAGTCATTTTTTTCAGAGATTAATAACATTAAAGACTCGCTTAGAAACCGTTTTACAGATGACTTCAATTCAACGTGAATTTTATTAAAAGTACCATCTTACAATCCTATTATAAGTTATTTGGCATCTTATCTGCAACTACAGAAGTCACATTAATGTTACTTTAATTTGAATTACACTTATAACTAAAACATTTTCTACTATACAGCGTAAAATGTATTTTTTCATAGTGAATAAAGAGTTTTGAGTTGTTAGTAATAAGTTTTATTATTTACCCAATAATTAGAAGTCCAAATTATTTGACGGTACGTTTATACCTCATTAAACATTTCTTTAGAAAAAATGGCACGTTGATCCATAAAGGTTCGCCATCCCTAGTCTAGTCTCTCGGGAGGAATTCACAATGGACCACGATCTTGGTGTTCCACCAAACAGAGATGAGAATTGTTTGTTGATGGAGATTTTGTTTGGGGATCTGTTTCTCAGGTTCGCTTTTATGCAACCACTGCGCTTGCGATTGTCATCCAATATTCATTTTTCAACCACAGGATACGATGCAAAAATGGCGGTTTAACCTCGTGCTCCTGTGGAGATTTACAGGTCTCAAGGTGCTGCAAACGTTACTCCTACGGTAGGGAATGTGGCACCCATGTTTCAAGCTTTTTCACCTTGCTTTTTACCGCCAAACGTAAGGAGATTACCTGTGGTGCTACAGATAGTTCAGATCCTAGCTGTTGAACCGTTGAGACATAGATCGAGCCTCGTCTTTCTGCCCCAAATGGTCCAAATTACACCGCACTGAACGACAGGCTCCAGATTTGTTGTCAATCTCCATATCGCCTTTAAGACACTTGGCAAACAATTTACGGACTGTCCACTCAA